TTGTATCTGCTGGGAAAAGTGAAAGTCAAGGATTAACAGCCTTTAACAGATAGGAAATTAAATTATCCCTAACACAAGTAGCAGAGCAATCTCAGCAGCAGTTTGTCCTCCAATGACTCTTCCACTGAGATGGAGCACAAATGAAAGTAAGCTGATTCTTCAGCTAAATGGGATAATGTTAGACATTTACGTGACCCTTTAGAGTCATTGATGCGTTAATACTGATACTCAGCACCATCTGTTTTGCTAGCTGTATTTTATAATTGAAAATCACTAAGGCCCAGGGAAGTTAGGAAAGTAGTAGGGTCAATATTTGAAACCCATTGTTTCCAATTCCCTAAACTAAAATAACTGAGTTTATCCAATGGTCCACTACATAGAATGTACCCCATTCTGTACCTGGCTGTTTACCAGCTGAAAGGTGGCATGGCTGGGTCATCACTGCCTGGACTCTGTAACCAAACTGCTTGGGTTCCAAGTCTTGCTTGAGTGTGTGGCCTGGGGCAATTATTCAATCCTCCTGTACTTTGGTCTCCCTGCCTGCAAAATGAAATTGGTAACAGTATTACAGTCCAGGCATTATTTTGAGGATTAAATGAGAAAACACAGGAAAAGTGCTTAGAGCAGGGCCTGGCACCTAGTAAAAGCTTGAGAAACATTAGCGGTAAGTAGTTGATGCTGCACAGATTGACAAGCTCTTCAAAAAGTTGCCAACTTTGCGACATATTTAAAGACTTCTAGGATGCATATCAGATATCAGCAATGGTAAATTACTTGGGAGAAGTAGGCTTTGCATGCAAGCAGAACTTCACCGTGTTTACTTGGCGTCCTTCAGAATTGTTGGAATGTGTTGCAACAAGCAGGTTAATAAATAAAGACAGAATATTTCAAAGCCGGTTTCAGTAATCCCCTCTAGTCCTTGGAGCTCACTGTCCAGAATTCCTTTTATATGCTTAACCTCCCTGCCCTCTTAGCTCTTTGTGAAGATGCCCCACCCTCTCTGGGCTAACCCTTGGATGAGTCCTTTTGATAATAATCCAGTGGTTGCTGATGTCTGCACTCCTAGGGCGCCTCTGCAAAAAAGGCAGGCAAACACTACAAACTCCTGCAGCGTAAAAACGCTCGTGTTCAGCCTGAAGGAGACTGCAGTCAGGCACCAGGTAAACCAGACCACAATCAGAGATTTCTATCAGCAAGAGAGCACTACAAGCTGTCATAGCATTATGCCATCTGGGCACCAGGTTGTCCATCTGTGCTCGGATTGACAAGGAAAGGGAAAACTGCAAAGGAAGCAGGCCACCAAGCATCCTTCCCAGTGTGGCACTGAAATTTAGAACTGCTGGAGAATCCTGAAGCAGTTTCATCAGGACTTCTAATATCCAGTGAGGAGTTTTTAAACAAATAGGCAAGTCTTCGGCAAGTTCCTTAATCTCCTTTGTAAAGTGGGCGTGTATTCATTAGGGTAAAACAGCTGCTATAAGAAAAGTTTATTTCTCCCCTGCAAGAGACCCCTGTGGATGCTCCTGGGTAGGCAAGGCAGGGCTGTGCTCTGCACAGTTCTTCAGGAAACAATGAACAGTTCCCTGAAGAACTGCACAGTTGGTGCGAGGGGTCGGTGTGTGTGCTAACATGCAGGCTTCCAAGATCCCCTGGGCTTTGGCATCCATTCAGGAACAGGAAAGAGCAATATCCATGGGAGGTTTTTAAGGGTCAGGCCTGGAAGGGGTGCCATTCCATTCTGTGGCCACACCTATCTACGTGCAAGGGAGGCTGGGAAATGTGTTTCACCTGTGCCCAGAGGAAAAAAGGACATGGACTTGGTTAACAGAGAGCCAGTCTCTGCCAAAAAATCACATGTAGACCAGCACTGTAAAAAGAGGTGAGACCAGAGTGGGCCGAGCTGGAGTCGTCATAGGTACAAGCGCTGAGGTGATGGTAGAGCCAACTGACTTAGGGCTAAGGGGTCTGAGTTAAGGACAGACAAGGAGTCACCAGTGCCACTCACCAAAGGGTCTCAGCACACTGCCTTCAAGCCAGGAGGGAGCAGCCACACTACGCAACACAAGAACCCCACCCCACACTTTTTCGACCTTGGATGTGTTTTCTCGTGACTAGCTCTGGCCAATAGGCAGAAGCAACATGTATCACTTCTGGACTGAGCTTTTAATTGCCGTTGTGGGCTGTCTCGAGGGCTCCCTTCCCTCTGCCAATGAACAGCAAACAGTGTTCCAGTGAGGACTGGCTCCATCAGCCTGGGCCCTGGAGAAAGAATACAGAATGGATCCTACAGGTACCCACGCAACATCTTGTTTTAAGTCACTGGTATTTTTGAAGTTGTATATTACTGCAGCATAACCTAGTTTATTCTGACTGATAGAGAAACATATTTGTATATACAAACGAATCAACAAAAAGGCATTCTTGTCCAGTTTAGATCATCAGCTCGAAGAACTAAGGGAGCATGCTTCTGAGAACATACTTTGTACATTATTGCTGCCATGCAAGCAAAAGAAGTGCTTGATGGGCCTTGGATTATTTTAAATACTGATAACATCAACTTTCAACAGGCCCCAGACTTACTCTCGACCTTAAAAGATCATTAGTCGCAATTTAGAGAAAGTTTAAAGTTACGAAATGCTAGAGAGATGTTAAGGACATATAATCAGTAGTAAAAGAAAAATGAAAATGGGAGAGCTTTGGAGGGAATCATGGTCAGCTGTTAGAAGCATTTTTATGTAGGGGTCAAATCCTGTTGCTTGTCTGTCCTCTGGGGTCTCTAGAACTGACCTCCTGCACTGTTGGTTGCCTTATGGGCCCTCCTAGTGTTCTGGTCTGTGGACCAGCACTGTAATGTTCACCTAACTTGTGAAATTCTGTCTCAGATCTCACTCATATCGTCCCACACTGCAGATAACTTGACATTAAAATGCAGTGAGGGGAGTTCCCTGGTGGCCCAGTGGTTAAGAATCTGCCTGCCAGTGCAGGGGACACGGGTTCCATCCCTGGACCAGGAAGATCCCACATGCCACGTAGCAACTAAGTCCGTGCTCCACAACTACTGAGCCTGCGCTCTACAGCCTGCGAGCCACAACTACTGAGCCCATGTGTTGCAATCACTGAAGCCCACACACCTAGAGCCCAAGCTCCACAACGAGAAGCCACCGCAATGAGAAGCCCATGCACTGCAACAAAGAGTAGCCCCCGCTCGCCACAATCAGAGAAAGCCCACACGCAGCAACGAAGACCCAAGGCAGCCAAAAATAAATAAATTTATATTTTAAAAAATGCAATGAGTGAGGGAACATGACTTTTTAATATGTTCCCCTAGAGTAAGTGATCGAACAGGATACTCTAGTTCTGCTCACTTTAGCATAACAGGAAGCACCAATGTTCCCAGCCAGCTGGTTGAGCTTCTTTAACTATTGCTCAACAAGTTGACTATAAACTTCTTGGATACAAGAGCTATATTTTATTCATCTGTGAATAGCATGGTAATTAGTGAAGAGCCTGTTTTGGATTCAGCCAGATTCTGGCTTGAATATTGATTCCATCATTTAATAACTGTGTAATCTTGGACACTTAACCTCTGTAATCCTCTTTCATCGTCTGTAAAATGGGGGTAATAGTGCCTGACTCCACTGACTTGTTGTGGAAATTAAATGTGACACTTCTTTGTAAAGCTCCTGATGCAGCTCAAAAGTCTTTGTTGAGAGCTTGGAGGAACAGTGGCTTCCATCCAGCCAAGAGTATGATCTCAGAAGAGACTGTGTGTTAGTCTCTATCAAATTTAAAGGAAAATTCCTTTGCCAGAGGCTGCAAACGCCATCATGTTGAGGTTGAATAATGTTTACCTCAAAGGAAGAGATTAGTTTCCATTTTATCTGCCCTGTTTGAATTTTTATATGGATTAAAACTACAAGAAATTAAAAATAAATACAGCTTTTTAAAGGGGAAAAAATGTTGGGCTGGCAGGGGTGCTGGCTTATTTGCTGGCTCTTTTAGCTCTTTCAGTGATAGCAAAAGCAACAAACAGAACATACTAATAATTGTCTATATTAATACAAAACACTAATAATTATCCATATTAATAAGGCAGCCCCATTCCCATATGAACCTGGGGGTAGAAACAAAGTAACATAATCCTTCAGAGTTGCACCAAATCTTCGCAAGACTTTAAACTAGCTTCCATGTACAGACGGTTCCAACTTCCCATGGTTCCACTTATAATTTTTGGACTTTGCCATGGTGTGAAAGTGATACCCACCTGGAATTTTTATCTTTTCCGGTCTAGCGTTATTCTTGCGTGATGCTGAGCAGGCGGGCAAGTCCCAGATCCCAGACAGCACAGGGTAAACAACCGATACGCTTGCAACCATTCTGTTTTTCACTTTCAGCACAGTGTTCAATAAATTACATGAGATATTCAACACTGTCATAAAATAGGCTTTGTGTTAGATGATTCTGCCCAACTGTAGACCAACGTAAGTGTTCTGAGCAGGTTTAATGTAGGTTGGGTTAAGCTGTGATGTTGGGTAGGCTAGCTGTGTTAAATAAATTTTCAACTTAGATGGGTTTATCAGGACGTAACCCCATCGTTAAGCGGAGGAAGACCTGTATTATGGTTGTCTCCCTTAAGTCTTTTGCGTGGTTTCCACCCCTCCCTGGCAATTCCACCCCCAAGCAATTGTAGGGAGGGGAGAAACTGAGGCGGGGTTGGGGGGAGACTGTGGGCCCAGCTGCAGCGCCCACACCGCCGGCCTCCTGCTGCTCGCAACCCCAGGACGCGGGCCGTTACGGCGGTTTCGGTGCGGAGCCCGGAGCGCTCAGGCCGCCGCCAGGAGGTCCCACCGGCCGGGAGCTCCGCGGAAACCAGGCCGAGGGGGCGGGCCCGAAGCCTCGGCCTCGACTCCGCCCGCGCCGCGCTGCGCCCGCCGCTTCCCAGCCGCCTGCTCCGGGCGGCCTCGCGGGGCCCGGAGCTCTGCCCGGGGAGCGCCGCCAGCATGCTGCAGAAGCGGGAGAAGGTGCTGCTCCTGAGGACCTTCCAGGGCCGGACGCTGCGGATCGTGAGGGAGCACTACCTGCGACCCAGCGTGCCCTGCAACAGCCCGCTCTGCCCGCAGCCAGCCGTCTGCCGCAACGGTCAGGGCAGGGGGTGGAGGCTGGGGAGGGTGGGCAGACGAGGACCGGCGGGAGCGGGGCGGCCCGGGCGGGATCGCCGTGGGCCGAGACCGGGCGGGCGTCAGGGCGGCGGCGCCGGGGTAGAGCGTCGGCCGTGAGGCGGAAGGGCGCGTCCCAGAGGCGGAACGCGAGGCCGTGGTGGCGACGAGTCCGAGGCTCCCGGGCCTCCGCCGGCCTCCAGGCATCACCTCCGGCCCGGCTGCAGGTCGGGCGCGAGGGGCCGGCGGCTGTCGAGCCGCAGAGAGCTGGGCCACGGCTCCGCTGTCGCTCCACACCGACTCCCGACTGCTCTGCCCGGGAAAACGGAAGGGCCGAGAGGCAGGCGCCCCCGCAGCGCAGAGGCCGCGGTTTGGGGCTTTCCGAGGGGCCTGTGGGCGCTGGAGCGTCCTGCCCCCAGGCTGGCCGCAGTGAAATCCGGTGGACCCGAGCTGTGGGCCCTGCAGTGCGAGCCGGGCACGCGGAGCTGACGCTCTGCCGCTCCTCGTTGTACATTTCTTTGCTTTGCTCCCTGCCAGCACCTAGGCCTCAGACATTTATCCAGTGGAGAACCCTCTTGACTGTAGGATTTGTGGATCATCTGGGCCCTCATTGTACAGGAAGGTCATGGGGAAATTGGATTTGGGTCGGCTGCCCACTACACCTTCCTCCATTTGATTTCTGGGCGGCTGGGGTGGCCGACTTAACGATGGTTACTTGTTCTCTTCCCTATGGTGGGAGAGGAGCGTGGTGGTCCTTTTCAGCGAATATTTGGGATCCTCAGCTTACGGTTAAGGTGAACATTTCAATTACAGCTTGACTAACCAGCTCCGAGACAAGGGCTAGGTGGAAATGCCACCACCGCCCCTGCTTGCACTGAGCATCTTTTCTAGTCAATTCAGTCTTTTTGGCCCTTGGAGACTTTCGAACACGTTCACAAGCTTGAGACACAACCGACTTGAAATGGCTGGGCATAAACAAGTGGTTAACGTGTATTTGGGGAGCCCCATTGGAATGTGAGTGTAGGTCAATGGGTTAACAATATATAGTTAAGTTGTGCTGAAGATTTGCTTGTCTTTGTGTGTGTGTTTTTTTTAATCCGTCATCTTTTACATTACTGGCAACACCATAAACCACGTTGAGCTTTTATTATCACAGCTTCAGAAAAATGAAGGTGCTGAATTTACCTGAACGTTGGGCCTCTACCAAAGTAGATTTGTCTTTTAAAAACTACATAGTGGGGCTTCCCTGGTGGTGCAGTGGTTGACAGTCTGCCTGCCGATGCAGGGGACATGGGTTCGTGCCCCGGTCTGGGAAGATCCCACATGCCACGGAGCGGCTGGGCCCGTGAGCCAAGGCCGCTGAGCCTGCGTGTCCGGAGCCTGTGCTCCACAACGGGAGAGGCCACAACAGTGAGAGGCCCACGTACCGCAAAAACAAAAACAAAAACAAAAAACTACACAATGTAGTTGGAAGTTGTTCTGCACACTGGGGCACCGTGACATTGAAATCATATTAAACTAAGTTTGCAAACGTTGTCTAAAACGTTGTCTAATCTCTTCTGTTTTGAATTACGCTTCAGATGGGAAACTCTTGTCTAGTGACGTGACTCATTACATGATCCCAGATTGGAAAGTCGTTCAAGATTACCTCGAGATCCTTGAGTTTCCTGAATTGAAGGGAATTATTTTCATGCAAACGGCTTGTCAAGCTGTGCAGCATCAAAAAGGCCGGAGGTATCTGTTTTGCATTATTTATTTTTTTATGTTGTGGATTTTTTTTTCCCCCTTTAGAAGAGGTTCCTTGTTGGAGAGAAAGGGGAGGAATTCATTATTTTCGTCGGAAAGGACTTTCTGAACTAATTTGGCATTCTTTTTGCCAGTGAGGAATGCAGTAACATTATTTTATATTTCTGCTTCAACACCTGGCCAAAAGGTCTGACTGCAGATCAATAAACTGCAGTGTCCCCAGGATGTGGGTATTTAAGATTCTTGGCTTTTGGTTTGCATTTTTATAGTAGCAGTGCTATTGCCTATATCATGTTGAAGACTGCATGTTATTTAATCTTCTTATTTATAGATATATTGTTTCAGAAACTTACATTTTTTCCCCTTGGGAAAAAGAAAGTATTTTAAAATTTGAGACTCCTTTATTGTGGAGGCAAGTTGTACTTGTGGTGATTTATTCAATGAAACCAGAATTAACTTGTTTTATTTTTAGATTACTAGTATAACCACCAACCATAGGAATGGTATTTGCTAAACAAAGAATTTCTGATTGAAATCAGTCTAAAATGCTTGCCTTGTACCTAAATGAAGAACGGTTGTTCACCTTTTAAACAAATACTCTATAAATGGTTTTGCTTCCTTTACATTGGGAAAAGATTTGTGATTTGAACTTGAAGACTGTATGGAAACAGCATATTAGAATTATATACTCAACCTGTTAACACCACAAGTTAAGCAGAAATTATGTGTTTATTCTTTTTCAAATGTTGTGGTTTCTTCAGACCTTGGTAGTAAAAGATGAAGTGTGTTTATTTGTATATGAAAATGATACGTTGTTCTTATTATATGCTCAGTTCAAAAAAATATGAATTAACTAGGTTGTGTGCAGGTTTTTCAGATAGAATATTTTTATATGAGCTAGAAGTTGATTTTGTTCAGACACAAAGATATAGATGTTTATACACATCCAGGTTTAAATGCTGCTCCAGGTGTCGTATTTCAATTTCTGCTACTAAAATCAATTTGTCGTTATCATGTGGGTTGCTAACACACTGCCGAGCCTTTTCAACTTCTGTTTTCTAAAATATTTTTAATATTAAGGATTGTTTTAAAAATCAATTCCTGGGACATTCAAAAGCAAAGAATTGGAATTTAAATGTCTTTTTTCCTGAACATTTCAAAAGTAGTTAACTTGATGAAAAACAATTGGTTTTCCATTGCTTTACCATGTCTCTGAATGCACTAAACGTGAAAACAAAAGCTGAGGAGTTATGGAACAGGCCCACAGGATAATACTCTGGTTTTGCCATTGGTGAGCACTTTTCGAGTTCCTAGTTCCAGACCTTCTGGAGTACAAAAAGAAGTCTTATTCCCTCTCTCAACAAACTTGTTGTCTTGTTGGGATTAAATGCAAGAAGCAAGAAGGTAATTATGACATACCTTGGACACATGTAAGATAATTTAATGTGGACTATGTAAAGTGCAGAAGTAAACATGGGGTGTGGGGATTTAAAAAGCCCTCTGAAGGAAATAGGTTTGAGACTGGTCTTAATGCAGGGAACTGAACATGATTGATGAAGAGGAACAAGAGGCAGGAAAAGGAATCAGCAAGTTGGGGACTTTGTGCTTTCTTTACCTGTTAAGCGACCAGCAGGTGTATTCAGGTTGAAACAGCTAAAGGGCCACAATTACCTAAGCCCTGGAAAGTGTCATATATTAAAAGCTAACTTTAAAGTTGATGAGAGCCATTCAATATGTAAGATCCAGGAGATTTGCTTGATTAATTTGGCCTTCATAAGTGTTATGCATAAGTCATTTGAGTTTTTGTATTTAACCAAAGGTGGCCTAGCAGAGGCTCTCTGGTGCTTTGCTTCATTTAATGTTGGAAAACATTTTGTTTTTCAGTTCTTCCTCTGAGATTTTTGAGATGCTTGTAAATAATTCATTCTATTTTATATGCTTTTAGGAATATTATTGCTTAGGAAAGGTTTGTCAGGTGAAAATACCTAGTCTGGTCTAGTGTCTGGTAGAAGGATGCCTTGCTTTCTCCTTTTGACCCCCTCGTGAATGACTTCTTTATAGCTTGAATCTCAGTTTCTTAGTACATAACATAAGACTGGAATCAAAATATTATAGTTGGAGAGGATCTAAGAGGTCAACGTGAGCCCCATCCTACATCAGTGTTACTCAACATGAGTAATGTAGTCGACTTTGTTTCTAAAAGAAAAAAATTCTCATGGATACCCAATGTTAATTTAAATTAATTTATTGTATTGTTACTTAAATATGTTTCAACATAAATCTAGGCATAAATCCTCATACCTAAGTACTTAATGCAACCCTAAACCCAAATCAGACCTTCAAACTCAACAAGGCTACAAATGAATATTAATTTAATGTGACCAGTGACATTATTTTACTGACATGAAATCACCAGAGTTGGGTTTAATACTAGAAAGACACAGCCTCTATGGCTATAGGCATAAGCTCTATATTTAATATGATTTTGTAGTTTGATTTCAATAATATCAATTCAGAAAAATGTCCTCATAAGTATATTATACAAAACGGTATGAAAAATGTCAAGTTTTTGATCAGGATAATCACACATTCTGCTATCTAACAATCCTCAAGTGCTTATTTACTGAGGGCTCGTGTGATATCCCTGTAAGGGTGACCTGTCCACTGCCTTCAATCATGTGTTCAGGTGTTCATCTGTGTATCTACAAATATTTATTGAGAGGCTTTATGTGCCAGAAACTGTGCTAGCACTGAGCATACAGTGGTGAGCAAAGGCAGACACGGTCTTGAGGGGGAGACAGGCAGTAATCGATAACCAGAGAAACAGATGGAGAAGTGAGCTGTGACAGGCGCGCTGAGGGAGGGGTGCTGGGCTCAGGAGAGCCCAGACTAGGCAGGGAGGAAAGGCTTTCCTGAGTGAGGTGCGTGTGCTGAGCTCTAAGGGATGAGTGTGAGGAAACGAGGCAAAGAAAGGAGAAAAGCTTTCCAGGCGAGGAAACTGCTGTGCAAGGACATGGGGAGAGAGAACGTGGAGAATGAGGGAGGAGAGAGCCCTGGATTGGACTAAGGTAGGCCCCCATGGGCCTCAGGGATGTGGTGAAGCGTTTTAAGTAGGGGGGATAACATGATCAGATTCCTGTTTCTAAAGGATTACTAGGCTAGTGGAGAAGAGGCTTGGAGAAAAGAAGAGGAGGCACTTGCTTTAGTTCACATGAGAGATGTTGGTAGCTTATAGATGGAGAGAGAAATAGACATTTCTGAAAGCTGTTTAGTAGGTAAGATCCATAGAAGTTCCTAAGTATATAACAAAGCGAGTTGAAAATATGTCCACACAAAAACTTGTGCGCAAATGTTTGTTCATAACAGCTCTATTCATAATAGCCAAAAATGGAAACAACCCAAATGTCCATCAACTGATAATGGTTACACAAAATGTGGTTTAACCACACAATGAAATATTATTCAGCCATAACAAGGAATGAAGCACTGATACATGCTACAACATGGATGAACCTTGAAATTATTATGCTGAGTGAAAGAATCCAGCCCCCACCCCCCACACACACAAATCATATATTGTATGATTCTGTGTATATGAAATGCCCAGAACAGGTAAATCCAAGAGACAGAAAGTAGGTTAATGGTTGCCAGGGGCTAAGGGGCAGAGGGAATGGGGAGTGACTGCTTAACAGGTGTAAGTTTCTTTTGGGGGCTGACAAAAGTGGAGTTAGATAGTGGTGATGGTTGCATAATGCTGTGACTACACTAAAAACCATTGAATTCTACATCTTAAAAGGGTGAATTTTTTGGTATGTGAATCATATCTCAATAAAGCTGTTTTTTTTTTTAATGTTTATTTATTTACATTGGCTGCTCGGGATCTTAGTTGTGGCATGCGAACTCTTAGTTGGGGCATGCCTGTGGGATCTAGTTCCCCGACCAGGGATCAAACCCCGGGCCCCCTGCATTGGGAGCACGGAGTCTTAACCACTGGACCACCAGGGAATCCCCACTGTTTTTTGTTGTTGTTGTTGTTGTTGTTTTAATCTATAGGACTTAGTAATGGATTTAGATAAGTGAGATAAGGGAGAAGGTGGTGTCAAGGATGACACTAAGATTTCTGGCTTATGTAACTGGATAAAGAGGGGGAACACTGGAGAAGGTCGGGGGGTGGGAGGTCTTGAGTTTGAGGTGTCTTGAGGCTTCCAAGAGGGCAGACACTGACACCAAATGGCATTGCAGCCTGAAGCCTGGTCCAAAATATACTCCATTAAAAATGTTTTAAGAATATCACCTAATATAAATGGAAATAGAAACTTCTGAAATTCTTGGAGAAAACTCAAGGACCTCTGAATTTAAGTCTAGGAGACCCTACCTGGGTTCTGCAAAAACTGAAGAAATGCAACATTGAGTACAGGACTCACTTCCTTGCACCTCTTGCCACTGGTAGTGGGACACCCACTTCTAATCCCCAGAGACTGTAGTCAGCAGGGGGAAGGGATGTTGCATCTGAAGGTAAGATCACCATTGAATAAAAATAGTAAAAAAAAAAAAAAAAAAAATCAATCTAGAGAAGGTAAGTTTTGCTGTCCCCCTAAGAAATTGTCTGAAATGTTTAGATAATGGAGATTTCGAAAACACTTTAGCCAGACCAGGGAAACTAGGGTTTTTCTGTAAGCCTGGAATTTTTAAAACTTCAGATAATTTTATTGTACTTGACTATCTGGAACTGTTGTCCTGTCATTCAGGCCAGACTTGTTCAAGGCACAAGTTCTTTGCTGGCTCTATGCAGAATACTCATATATCTAATTCCATCATATGCACCACCAACCCTAACTAGCAAAAAATACGACTGTGTTGTATGGATGCACTATTAAATTATAACCGTAAGCCCACATGCCTACAAGACAACCCGACTGTCACACTCAGAGTGATTCACTGTTTGTTTCCTGCTTTTCGCATTAATATTCTTGTGCCATTTGTTCATTTGTTTTATCTGGCCGATAGGTAGCTGACAAATGGAAGCACACACTAAAAGTCTAAGGAAAATATATGGGAGTGAAACTTAAAATTGAGAAAATTCTTTTTGTTAAGTGATATATTTTTCTAAACATTGGCAAGGATTGTCATTACTTTCATTTGGTGGTAAAGCCCCCGGGTCTGGCCTGTGGAGCATCGGTATTTGGAGAGGACAGGATTTGAGAAGCCCCAGGTTTAAAGTACGGGTGTGCTGACCAATGCAGTGATGTATGTGAAGCCTAGCAAAAGAGTAACTGGGCTCTGAAAATATCAGTTTGTCCCAGGACATTTTTATCTCGTATTTGGATCACCGTTGTCTCAAAGGGTTGTGAGTTCATGGATTCACTTGGAAAATAGTTATTGAGCGACTGCCGTGGGTTAAGTACTAGAGATACAAGGAGGAAGCCTACCGTCTGCTTTCTTGAGCTTTCTGTCCCCTCTCTCCTCCTTTGGGCCCTTTGTCTACCTAACTCTTACCCATCCTTCAGGTCTATTGCCTCCTCCTGGGTGCCTCCCTCATCCCTCCCATGTTCCTGTCACACCTTGCACTTTTCCTTTCATGGCACTCATCCCACTGAAATGGGTGGTTCTCTTTTTTTGTTTGTTTTATTTTGTTATGACAATTAGTATAGCTATTTTTTTTAATTGTGGTAAAATATATATAACATAAAATGTACCATTTTAACCATATCTAAGTGTACAATTTGATGGCATTGAGTACATTGACACTGTTGGGCAACCCATCTCCAGAACTTTTTTCATCTTCCCAAACTGAAACTCTGCACCCATTAAACACTCATTCCCCATTTCCCCCTCCCCCAGACCCCTGGCAACCACTGTCCTACTTTCTATCTCCAGGTATTTAGCTACTCAAAGAAACTCCTATGAGTGGACTCATACAATACTTGTCCTTCTGCGACTGACTGGCTTATTTCACTCAGCATAATGTCTTCAATGTTCATCCGTGTTGAGGATATGTCAGAACCTCCCTTTTAAGGCTGAATAATATTCCACGGTATGTATATACCACATTTTGTTTATCCATCCATCCCCCACGGACACTTGGACAGCTTCCACCTTTTAGCTAATATGAATAATGTTGCTCTGAACATGGGTGTACAAATATCTCTTTGAGACCCTCCTTTCAGTTCTTCAGGGTCCATACCCAGAAGTGGATTGCTGGATCATATGGTAGTTCTAGTTTTGACCTTTTTTGAGGGATGGATGGTTGAGTTGCATTCACCATGGGCAGGACCACGCAGACGAAGGGCAGCGTCGGAATGCCTAGGTGTGTCCCCTGCGGGCACTCAGTGGAGCACAGAGGAGGAAGTTTGTAAACAAATACCTGCACTGGGTTCAGGTGCTTTATTAGGGGTGTGGATAAAGGGAGCAAAAACTGGAAAAGATCAGGAAAAATAGTCAATATTTTTTCAGTGTTTTCTCTGAAATAATAAATTTCAGATGTTTATAAAGCTTCTTCTAGAATCTTTTATTGCTTAACCAAAAAAGTGCTCATTTAAAAAAATTCATGCATGACAGAAATGCGTAAAGCAGAAAGTGAAAGTCCTTGCTTTTCCCTCCTGCAGGGACGACCCTGTTAGCACGGTGATGGAGACTCTTGTATGCATATTCTAAGAGGTTTTGAAAAATGATTTTAAGTGTATCTTTGTAAAAGTGGGAGAAAATTACTAATTTAATGTGTTCTAGGCATTTCTGCGAGTGGGGAGGCAGCTTTTATTTACACAAGTGGAATTCTGTTCCGGAAAGCTGCCATTCACAGAAATGAAACTGAATCCCTTTGTTTATTAGGACATTTGTAAGTTGTAGTTACTTGATGATTCTTTTTAAGGTGGCTCAAAATTAGAATTACTAAGAAAGTAAAATCATTGTTTCTTGTTTTCTGATGAAGTGTTGAGACGACGCAGATACGGTAGTTGGCATTTATTTAGAGCGGATAAGTTAGAGGGTTCTGCGTTCGCTTTAATGAAAAGACTCATTTTTAAAAATCCGTGGCAGCAGGCTGGAGGTGGGAATGGAAGGGCACAAATGTTATTACGTTAAATGCCAGTTATCTACCTTGGATAATTTATATGTTAATTTAACATCTGGTTTAATATCAATCCATTTTTAAATAAACAATTGACTTCCTTTAAGATAATTGTGAATATTATGTATTTCACATTATCTAGACAATTGAAAAGCACCTTCTTAGAAACTGACCCACATGAGACTTCATATTTTATTTTCTTTGGCTAAGATTATTGGAAAGATCTCCTGATGGGTTCTGAAAAACCTAGGGGCAGGACAGGAATAAAGATGCAGACATAGAGAATGGACTTGAGGACACGGGGACGGGGAAGGGTAAGCTGGGACGAAGTGAGAGAGTGGCATGGACATATATACACTACCAAATGTAGAATAGATAGCTAGTGGGAAGCAGCCACATAGCACAGGGAGATCAGCTCGGTGCTTTGTGACCACCTTGAGGGGTGGGATAGGGAGGGTGGGAGGGAGACACAAGAGGGAGGAGATATGGGGATATATGTATATGTATAGCTGATTCACGTTGTTATAAAGCAGAAATTAACACACCATTGAAAAGCAATTATACTCCATTAAAGATGTTAAAAAAAAATTGAACATCTCTCTTCCATTGTACAAGGGATTAGAAAAATTGTATGTCTTAGTTTGATAGAGCTACCTGTTCCCACTGTGTGTTAAATATAATTATTTTAAAACATAAAAAAAAAAAAAAGTCTCCTGATGGGAAAAAACCTTAAAACTTTCTGTTAGTTTTCTGATAGATGAAGCTAGCCTTCATTCACGTAAACGATGTGGCTGCATCAATAAAGTTCACAGATAAATTCCCAAACTTACCTTACATGTTCTTTTCTAGGGCTGCCAGCAAAAAGTAAAACATATTAATGTCTAATACCATTTACAGAACAAAGTGAGTTACAAAAATAAAGCACTAGGGCTTCCTGGTGGCACAGTGGTTGAGAGTCCGCCTGCCGATGCAGGGGATACGGGTTTGTGCCCTGGTCCCATGCCGCAGGACGGCTGGGCCTGTGAGCCATGGCCGCTGAGCCTGTGCGTCCAGAGCCTGTGCTCCGCAACGGGAGAGCCCACAACAGTGAGAGGCCCGTGTACCGCAAAAAAATTTTTTAAAAATTAAAAGAAAATAAGGCACTAAACTCTGCTTGCCTCGTTGTCCTTTGTGAGCCTTTGATGCAGAGGCTGTGTGGGGCAGGGTTGTATAATTACATAATAAATAGCCAGAAAGGGAGAGGGGAGTAGAGGAGTTTAACTGATCCACAAACTAATTAATGAGGCCCTGCTCCAGCACATTCTAGCAGACAAAATGGAGAAACAGCAGCCCAAGAGCGCAGCACACATTAAGGCCAATGTAAATAAGTGTTTCTCAGGTTTTAAACAATCAATCTTTTGCTCTAAAATACCTCATCTTTTCTGAACCTTAGCAAGAGGTGGCAGGAGATGAGTACCTGCTAGATTAGATTTACTTTTCTCCTCTGTGTCACAGACAGTATAACAAATTGCGAAATCTCCTGAAGGATGCGCGTCATGATTGTGTTCTCTTCGCTAATGAATTCCAGCAGTCCTGCTATCTCCCTCGGGAGAGAGGGGAGTCCATGGAGAAGTGGCAGAGCAGGTATGGCCCTGAATAGCTGGGTTTTCACATGATCATCTTCTTTAATTTCTTTATCATTGGTTATTTGGGAGTTGATCTAAATAGTATGGCGGAACAAACCAACAATTTTTCCGGAACCATGATTAATACTGAAATGCTTAATGTGTCAATATTCTAGATATGTCATTTGAATACATATATTTTAGAAATTGTAATTAAGGAGCTATAGGTGCCCAGAGTAAGTTTGCCCCAGACCTCTAAAGGCTAGTAGGATCATTCATTCCAGTGATCCAAAAGTCATACATAGCTTTAATGCTGTGTGAGTGCGTGTGTGTGTGTGTGTGTGTGTGTGTGTGTGTGTGTGTGTGTGTGAGAGAGAGAGAGAGAAAGAGAGAGTGGCAGGGACACGTCCTACTTTTAAGCTAAAGTCATCTCACTTTTTCAGGTATAGGTTGCTTTAATATCCCAACCAGTCTTATTAAACTGAAATGGGTAGGTTAATTCTAGTAAAGCTGTTTTAGGAAGTGCGGTGTCCTAATAGAGATCCACCTAAAAGCAGAACCTGAAGCAAGGATTTTGGAGGTGAGTTGTTTATGTGAGAAGCAATGCCCAGAAGCAGGAGTGGGGCGAGTGACCCAGAGAAGGAGGGAAAGCAGTAAAGGATGTATTACTGCTGAGGGAAACTGAGGCTCAGTCCTCTGGGAACCTCTAAGAAGCCATGTAGAGTGTGCCTCAGAAGTCATCTCCAAGGGTGGAGGCGAGGGCATTTAGTTAGTTACCCCTTTAGCTGAGGGCCATTCCCCAGGGGTGTTAACTCCAGTCAGTGGGCCATTGATGAGGGATGGAACTGCCACCCAGCTGCAGCTAAAGTCAGAGGTGGGCTTAGGGTACAGGTGCGAGCCTCTGCTTGAGTCTTCTGTAGAAGGCAGAAGAGACCTTAAGCTTTAAAATAGCTTATCCATACAAAACATTTACATCATCTTCTTCCGTATAATGCTTAATCTGTATAGCCATTAAATATTTAAATTCTCTAAAGCAAAATAAGCACTGATATATACTGAGTCCTTAATAGAACCCAAGTTCCCACCAGCAAGGGAAAGCAAATCTTTCCC